TTGAAACATATTCTCTATCCCTATTGAATATTTTTAAAGATCAGTGAAGTGGGAATAACAGGCAATTATGTGTAACCACTAACACAGTTGAGAAGTAGAATTAAAATAAATACATTATCAGCAAAACTGGATTGTGGAACCCAGTAAGTGGGTTCAACTCACAACCCTGAGATCAAGACCTGGGCTGAGATTAGGAGTTGAACACAGCCTGCTGAACCACCCAGGCGCCCCACTCCACAGACTTTTTTATTTCTATTCGCTCCAGATCTTTCTCTTCATTCTTAGTACTAGTCACATTATTTCCACTTATAAAACACTTGGAAAGTTAAAAATAATAACTCTTGGAATCAGGTACAAGGAGACCAGGAAATCCTTTTCTCATGATTAAAGTTTGCTTATAATTTGGATTAAAGGGAAGTACCTGGTGGTATGAAGGGTACTCCTACTTCTAACACTGTCCTTACTTCCAGAGAGAAAACGACTGGAAGCCAAGCAACGGGAAGATATCTGGGAAGGCAGAGACCAGTCTGCGGTTTGAACATCACTCAACAAAGGGGATAGTTCTGTGAATTCAGAAAATATTTCCATAGTCTTCGGATAGGAGGATCCTTCTAGAGTTGTGTGTACATGCAGAAGTGCTTGTTAATGGAAGAAAGAGAGAAAGCCATCAAGACAAGCACTGACTGGATACAGAAAGCAGGTGAGCTCCTGTCCGTCTTCACTTCTAACTGCAGTTCTGTGGAACTACCCTCCTGTGTTGGGCATAGAAGGGAGCCAATGGGCAGGAAGCTCACTTGTGCGGGCTTGGATAGGACTTCCAAGAATGCTCTGGGTGGGGCAGGTCCCATTGTTAGCCTGGCTCACGCATCTAAGATGTCTGAAGAAGTTACAAAACAGAGGATTCAAACCTGCGATGATGAGAGATTTTGGCCTTGCAAAGGCGGCGTGCTCCCTCGGACCTCACAGAGCTGAGGGCTGGTGGAGGGAGCAGTTAGTACCGAGGTGGAACAGTGTCTGAAGTACTTGGTTCTCACAGAATCGACACTGTCACTTCCAGAACTCCAGAGCGGGTGAGCTGCGGCAGATGTGGGTGTTTGGACCGAGCTGAGGCCTGGGGCTGCTCCAGCAGCCAGGGGCCTGCCAGCCTCCGTCCTCACAGGAAGTCAGCTGTGGAAGCCTTGTGCTAGTTTCAGTTGAAACAATACTATCATGCTGTGAGAGGGAGACATTAAAGCTCATTTGATGACACACATCACTCTCTTTGTCAATGTTGTCATTCCCACAAAAAACTTGGAGAACAGCTCTCCTCGCATCCATCCCTGTGGTGCTGTGCACGGGTTCAGTGGGTCCGCTGGCTGTATTGAGCCGCACCGAGTAGTCCGCTGCTCCTCTCTCCGCCCCAGAGTATACTGCAAACATGCGTCTCTTGGGATTGGTATGCAGTAGCCCCCCTCCCCTTCTTGCCTTCCCTTTACACCCCCACCCTGGTCTCTGGCTTCCTCCTGTTTCTGTCATGCCTGACATTCTGCAGAAGGCATCTGGCACTCGGCAAGTTCTTGGTATCGTCTTCCCAGCCTGTGCCAGAGGCGCTTGGCAAGCGACCCCAAACCATCCGTTACAATGAAGAGTTGCCAGAATAAAACAAACACCTCTGGGCAGTGAGAAATTTCCTAAAGGACACTGACGAGTCTGAGCCACCAATTTCGGCTTTATTCATATTCTACCTGCATTCTCATGGCTTTTGGAAAGAAGTTCTATGCTGAAGAAATGGCAGCGCTAGGGCTTAAGAGGCTGAGGTAGCAAGAAATAATGTCCCATCTGTGCTTTCACTGAGGGTAAGAATCTCGTATGTGTATGATTTCATGCCCATGACAATGGTGGAGTATTAGCATTGCCTAGAACATGGTGGAGTGGGGGCTCTGTTCAAATGTTCCTCAAAGGATGCTGGCCTTGGTTCTTAGCCCTGACCCAGCGATCCCTGCTGCTCTCTGGACTTGGAGCCCTCTTGCAGTTCTTCCTCAGCATTGTTTTCTCATTCTTGGTCAGTTCCGGAAGTGTCCCTTGTTCATACTCAGTGCTTCCTTTTCAAGTTTGGGGCATTGAAAAAAGTCCTTCTCTTGACCCTCGTCCTAGTACTGCCTAGACCAAGGCCCCTCTCTCCGGCAGGCAGCTACAGGACTTGTGTTCTCGGTCTTCACGCAGCAGCCTTCTCTAAGACAGGCAGGTCTGTTTGAATGATATGGCTGCATTGGAAAGGCAGCAAATTCTCCATATTGAATGGTTTATTTCTGAGGTATACCTTTGCTCTGTTTTGATTCTTCAAGGCTAAGAGTGACTTGGGGGAGTAAAAAAGATGATTGTTCCTATCACTTGTCTTTGAGGTGCTCCCCCTTTCTGATAGCATTCTGGCTTTTAAGGGCCTCGTTAATGGTAACATAGAGCCACATGTTCATTACCCAGTTTTCTTGTATTACTCATAACTCCATAAGGTACTGTTCTCATTCGGATTCTGTATACTAGGTGGCTAGTAGAATATGCTTTTTTTTCCAGCTACCTCAAACTTTCAGATTTATCCTTATAATTAGGTCCAGAAAAGGGATTTGTTTTTAGCTAATACTGAAAGCTATGGAGTGTTGGTTCCACCATTAGTAGAAAATGTGCTTTTTAGTTCTATTTTTCCAGTCGTTGGGATTGATGTATAGTGGGTGGACGTAGGAGGAGCTTCCCTGGCCCAGCAAGGACTACACTGAGCTTGTCCAGATGGGAACCAGATCGTTGGTCCCATCTAACCCATGCCTTCACAAGCAGAGCTGACTAGAGAGCACCCTGTAGGTGCCTCTGGCTCCTCTGTTATATGTTCCAGAATACGGTGAATGCATTCTGCAAGGTGTTTTTGTTGCTTCGTGTAAAATGACTAAATCCCAGTGTCACCTGGAATTTGTAATAAAAAGGTATATTCCCCTTGAGTTCTGATATGCTCCCCGTAGAATGAAGGTTTTAGTGGAATAGAAATAAATTGGGCTTCTAATTAGTAAGCTGAGGTTCCCAGCCCTTCAGCCTCTGTGAGACTAAAGAATGCTGAAGTGAAAATCTTACGACATTTTTGGTTCTGTCTGGAATTTGGTGGTTGGTATTCATTCTGTTAACATTCCTCATCTAGTTACAAGTCATGCCAGCCAGCAGTCTTCCTATGTCCTCTAACCCTTTCAACTCGGTGGTATAACAGCACAGCCCTTGTATAGCTTTTTCCAAGAATTGGAACTGGCTGCATCTATCGAACGTGTGATGTGGGCAGCAAGACTGAGACCAGAGCCAGTGGCTGGCTGCCTGGCCTGCTTTTCCTGGCTCTCTTGGAAACTGGATCCAGGAAGAAGCGGTGGGTCACCTCCCTGCCTGAATATAGTCATCAGTCGCCACACACTCCCCCACGGGCTGCACATTCTTTCACACACCATTAGCTGCATGTGCGAGTATAATGTTGTTACTGTTTGGGTGATGTTTGCTGGATCCAACAGGAAATCAGTCCTTCCCTTGTTTACCTAAACTGCCATGCCAAGATATAATGCTCCCTTTGCCTAATGAAGGAGATGAAGGAGTGGAGGAGAGAGAAGGTAGAAGAGAAGAAGGAAGAAAGTACGTCTTTGTATTCATAGAGGATAGCTACAGATCGTGTCCTTTGTTACTCCCTGAGGAGGGGACGGCGCTCATGATGTGGGGAGGAGAGTACTATTGTAAATCTGCCCATCTGCTACCGTTCACTTTGGTTTTGCAGCCTGGGTTATAAAAGTTTACAATCCTTGGACTTTTCCTTCTTGCCTCCTTCCTTTCGTCCCTTGACCTTTCTGACCCATGTTTCAGTGCTGAGCCTGGGGAGAGAATTGGGAAGCAGATGATAGGCTAATATCGGAGAAATGTAGTAGTACTGTTGTGAGTAGTGTGTCCCCCACACATCCTAGTCCCCAGCTCAGCAAGAGTGGAAGAAGTTAGACTTCGTGTGCTGGGAACTGCAAAGAGCCAGTCTTGTCATTGTAGCTGTCCCTAGTGAGCAGCCTTTATTGGGATTAGAGCATCAGACCTGTAAAAATCATCTCTTATGTGTATCTAATTTATTCCATGCGAAGTTCACTCCAGAAGCTTAGTTGAGACCTGAAATTTAGGCCAGTCCTGAGACGTACAGTGATCTTGAGGGAGACTGGATTGCCTGCCAGGGGAATGGCATATATATATTTTTTTCCATGGCAGAGGCCATGGCAGGGGCTGGAGTCCATACCACCGCAGCAATCTTTCTGCTTGGCCTTCTCTTGCTGTTCTGTAGGAAGGCCTCATCTGGCCAGCTCTGCAAATCCTGCCCCTTCTCAAGCACTCAGTAACTGGTGGTATTGGCTCATCAGGAGATAAGGGGATGCCTGAGGCCTATGCTTCCAGAAGCACAGAAACACCCATATGTGTGGTAGGATAAAGGTAAAGGCACTAGAGTGGATACTTAGGAATAACAGGTGAGTTCTAAACGAGCACAGACCAAATGAGGGCCTGGATTCATCAGCATCTCTGCCAGTTGTGACTTTGAGCTTTTAGCAGAGTTAATCCTATCTTCCGTGTATTTTTATCCTTTTGTCCCCTACTCTTCCAAGACATTTGCAAAGCACTATTCAAATGGGGGACTGAGCCATAGTCCATCTCTAATTGCTCCTGAATCAGGAACTCTGGGGCAAGATCCAGTAAGGACTGGGTCTCCTTGTGGAAGACGAGCTCAGCTCAACAAAGCCTGGAGGCCATAGACCATAGACCAAAGGCCCTTAGGGGACAGGCCCAGAGTCCTCCTGAGGGAACAGTACCATTTTGGTTTGGTGACCTTGCCATCAAAAGGCTTCCTGAGCAGTTCTTGGTGCCCCTTGGCACTGACCCCTTTCCCTCTGAGTTAGGGCTCTGCGAAGGGCATGGCTCCAGTAAGCTGAGGTATCTGGTGTGTGGGCAGCAGCCGGAAGTGTGCAGTCATGGCTTCAGATGAAGTTGTTCCTGAGACGCTCCTGCTCCAGGGAGAGCTCTGAATTAGCTCGGTAGGAATCTCCTGTGGACCAAAGGAGAACAGGTAAGAAGCCAACCTTCCCAAGCTCTTATCCCCTTCCTGACAATTTCTCTCCTCTCTCTCTCTCTCTCTCTCTCTCTCTCTCTCTCTCTCTCACACACACACACACACACACACACACACAGAGTTACATTCTGCCCCACTCACCCTTTACATCAGGTCAGTCATAGGCATAAACATTTTGTAGAAACAGACCCTGCTGTGTAGTTTCAAGCACATCAGGAAGAACAGGCTATTGAGTAGAAAGGGTTATGCTGATACTCTGCCTACCCACCATCCCCAGATTCATTCTCTACCCTTATTTGTTTTCTCTGTGCTCTAGATAGCTTCCCTCTGGCTTCCTCAGCCTCTGTTTCTGGTTGATTTAGGTCAATGAGAAGCAACAGCAGAAGATTAGTGGATAGAAGGAGGGAGACATTGGTGTATTTCTTCCCTGTTCCTGTGGTGGTGGCCTCCCTTGCCTCCTGCTCCGGTCAGGTTCTCCCTCCAAGCTTGAACTTTAACCTGCCTCTAGGACACCCTGTGCCCCTTCAAGCTGAAAGGCATTAACAATTTCCCACTCTGGCTTATCCTCAGATGCCTCCACAACCCTCATTTCCTTAGTCCTATTCACACCTCTTCACACCAGTCCTTTCATTAAATAACTGTATTATCACCTGGTATGTCCTCTGTTTTGTGCAAGGACCCCGACGGTGCTCAAAAGTGCACTGTTTTTCTTTCCTCCCTCGCCGCCCTGGATCCCTTGCAGCCCACCACTAGCATTCGAGAGGCTCTCTCCAGTGTGCAGCCTTAGTTCCAGTCCCTGGTAACTCTGATGTTCCTGTCTCAGTTTGTGGCAGCAAAACCTACTCAGTTACACAATTTTGAATCTTTGGACTATTTCCTCTTTCTCCTCTTACGGTCTTGCATCCATTGCTAGAGTGACCTTTCTGAAAACATAAATCTGATCTTTTTGCACCCCCCTTGACTAAAATTGTTCAGTGGTTCCCGAACCCACAGGAGAGTCATTCTCTTAGCAAGACCTATCATAACCCCCCTTGCAAAGCACTTCAGTGGGTTTGAAGTACATGGTTCCCCCATTTTAAAAAAGAAAACTTCTTTGAGGTTGAGATGTTCCTCAATTTACAACTAGAAGGTGGTGGACTTGGATTTGGAACCCAATGAAGCCTTCGGGGGCCAAATCCTGTGCCTCTCTAGTCTTCCCTTCTTCCCGGACTTGGGTCTCTCCTTTGAAACCCGGTTCAAGCATCATTTCCTCCGGGAGACCTTGCTAGCCCCCAAGTTGTTGCTTTCTCTCTGGGCCTGCTCAGCATTAGTTCTTACGGGTTTGGAATAATCAGGAGTATTGGGGTTATCCTTTGGCATGCCTGCCTACCCTGTTTGACACTGAGCTCCACATTTTACTCCTATTTATTTTCCTAGTGCCTGGCACAGTATTCAACACAAAAGTAGGTCTTCAGTGTTTGTTGATTGAATAAACCAGTCCCGTCCCGCCCTATGTGCTAAGCATGGGTGTGAACGCACACTCCCCATAGCAAGTTCAGGCATTTCGTAACTTGAGCTAGAGGAGGGACTGCTACCTTCCTAGACAAGTAGGGCAACCATTTCCGTACTCTGTCCCCTACTGAATCTGCTTCTTCCATTGTCCAATACGACCAATCCTCTAAGTGTCCTGAGCCCTGTTCTCTGCGGCCACCTTCTTGTGCTCCGTGATCCCAGCTGGAGACAGCAACACAGAGCTGGCGGACCTCCCCTTCTGCCTGTGAGGCAGTCAACTTAGGACGGGCACGACTAAGAAAGACCATACGAAAGGGAGGGCGAACAATAACGGGACTGGGAAAGAGAAATCCAGACTTGGCTTGAAGTAACAGAAAAGACTCCAGGACAGATGGGAGACTGAGTTTATAATCCAAACAGCCTTAAGGACAAAGAGGGATATAGAAGTCAGTTGTGACTGGGTGAGGCTGCTGGTGTCACCAGTTGGGTCTAGAAACGGACCTATGAAGATGTCAAGGGATGTTCATCTCTGTTCTACCCCTAGCCTTCCACATCCACCTTCCAGCCCCATGGAGGGTGCGGGCAGGGGCTCCCAGCTTCCCGAGCCCATAGGCGGTTGGCCCCACGAGGGCTCGTGGTTACCTGTGTGGCAGTTGTGCAGCCACACCCGGTGCCCATCATACTTGCAGTGGCACCGCATCATGTTGTTCGAGAAATCAGACTCCGCCACCTCGAACTGGGGGTTCACAACCACCTGTAGAGAGACAAGGGTACAAGAGAAGGCCGGTGACGATAGTGGCTGTGATCGTTTACATTGCACGCAGTCTTGGAAAGGGTGTTTACGCCCTTCACTTCACTAGTCCTTCCAGGCACCCAGAGGGCAGGCGTCAACGTTCCTATGCTACGTTGTCCACTGACTCAAGACTCAAACCCAGGTCCTCGGGATCCTTCTTCGGTGTTCAAGTGTAAGACCTGTTGGAGACCCTATTTGTGAAACTCTTCCCTCATGGGACTGCAGGGAGACTTGGAATATCTGCAGGAAATGGAGTTCCTATGGGGGATCCCCAAGCCCCCTTACCTGGAAGATGTAATTCCCAGGGCCCACATCTGTGATATCCACCCACTGGCAATCGATGTCATGCCGGTAGGTGTCCCAGCAGCCGACAGTCACTCCCTGCTCCCCAAAGTTGGCACACGCATAGCGCTTCTGCAGTCCTGTGTGGAAGGGCGCCAATGGTTACTGAGGCAGGGGAGAGGGGCTTGGGACCCTGCAAGGCAGGCCCTACACACGGAATCCTCACACCGGTCATCTCCCTCAGTGGAATCAGACAAGGGACCTGCGGTTCTGTTAGATAACCTGCCTGGGAATCAGAGCCTGAATTCCTACTAACCATGAATGCAGCACAGTAGCAAACCCCATGTGTGATAGGATTTCTCTGGATGCTCTAGTGGGAACTCCTGTTGGCCTAGGAATTATGGGTGGAAGGTTCCAGCCCTACATCCTTCTGACCGTCTGAAGAGCGAGCGTTTGCCATGCCATTCTGAAAGGCTAGGAACTGTGGGACTGCAAACAGGAATTAGACAACCCGTGTCCTCAGAGAACTTAGTCAAAGTGAAACAAGCCTGCATCTCATACCGAGAGTATGAAGCCTTTACAGGTGGTATGAAGCGTGCTGGCAATGCAGCAGCAGCAGGGACCATCTACCTAAGATGTCAGGAGATAAGACACCGATCTTTCTGGAATGCCTTGAGTGCTGACTGTTGCCAGACCAGAGTCTCCAGGTGCCTGAGGGGGTCTTGGCTGAGGGCGGAAAGGAGCCTCACCGGGGCGGGGCTGAGGAAGAGAACACCAGGAGGCTGCGAGGCCGGGGATCCGCCTACCTGGGGGGCAGTGTGTGTCCTCCAGGCAGAAGCTGGCCTTGTGCCCCTCAGCCACCTTGGAGCCGTTGAGAGTGAGGAGGTCATAGTGGGTGAAGACCTCGATGCTGTGGTAGTGCCTGCGGGAGGGGAAGCGCTGTCAGCCTGGAGCAGTCGGCAGGCCAGACCAAGGCGCTGGGCCCCATCACTATCCAGAGAGGAACGGTATCGTCAGGGCAGCGCCCTTCTCCCTCACCAAGCCAGGATCCGTGGGACCATGGTCTACCTTCTGGCACCCCCTGCCCGGCAGCCAGGCACAGCTGCCCTCACCCGGTGTGGACCCAGGGGAGGAGGGGAGAGCACAGCCCTGCGAGCCTCCAGGAGGCCCAATCGGAAGCAGGAGGGAGGGGCACCTCCAGGAATGAGCCTCTGGCCCATCTGCCAAGGAGGGGTGCTTACTCTGCTCCCTGGGAGCCTGCGACCAAATTGCTACCATTGTTTCCAATCCAGGCCTGATGACAGCTCTGTTCCTGCTACAGGGGAAGGTGCTCATTATCTCAGCAAGGCCAAGTCCCAACACTGCTGCCCGCTCCACTCCGCTTCCCCCCCCCATGCTGCGTCCTGAAGGCAGAAACTACCACTTTCCCATTCTGCCTTTGTCACAGGCCTTGTCTTTCCTGTCTGGGCTGGAGACTCCTGATAGGAAAGAGAGCCCATTGTCTCCTTTCAGTCCCTGCGTTCCCACTTGTCTCTGGGCGGCCTTGCTCTGCTGCTGCAGAAGCCAGCAAGCTTTTTCTGCAGAGCCAGCATCCCGGGTTGTCTCTCTTGGGTTTCCAGGTTTCTAGGAGTTTTCACTTTATGTGGCTTTTAAAGACAAGGCCTAAGGTCCACCACAGAGAAATTAATTGTCCACATCATTCTAACAAAGACCAGCTCTGCTGGCAAGGAGTGCTCCACCTGCCGTTGCTGGGGGGGTGCACCCCATGAGCACCGTTCAGGGCTGTTCATCCGGGGCAGGGCCAGTCAGTGCCCCTGCAGTTCCCTACCGGCTCCTAGAGGCAAAGCCAGTGAGGCGTTGAGGAAGGAAGGCTCTCAGAGTGCGCGCCCCTCCCAGGAGAGCGCCCGGGGTCAGGGGAAGACCACACTGGTTTGATTCTTGGACTTGGCTGTTTGTCCCTCGAGAGCCATGGCGTGAGTGAGCACTGACCTGTGGCACTGGTGCCAAATCCAGCTGTGGCGTCCTGTCTTGGGACGGAAGTCGGCCCGGCCTAGGTTGTAGATCTGGGAGGAGAAGCGCAGGAGGCGCCGGTAGCCATAGGGCCAGTCCATGTGGTCGGCAGACCGGGAGAGGCAGTTCTCTTCGTGCGCGCAGTACAGCTGGCTGAGCGGCCGGTCCTCTAGGTAGGCGGTCTCCTGCACGAGCTGGGCGTTCATCACCAGGTCTGGAGCGCCTGCGGCCACAGGGCAAAGGAAGGGAGGCAGCCGTGTTGCTCTCGGGCAGAGGGGCTCTCTGGGGGAGCTACCAGCAGGGCAGGGCTCTCCCCAGGACAGGAGTCAGGAAAGGTGGGTTCAAGTGCTCCCGTGCCCTGGTTAGGCATGACAGCTTTGGAGTCGGCTGCCGGCGTTCAAGTCTTGCTTTGTTTCTGGCCACACCTCTCACTAGCTCTGTGACTTGCTTAAGCTTCTGGCTCTCACTTTCCCCATCCCTAAGGTGGGGATCGTAATAATGCCAGTAGCGCCAGTACCCGTAACGTGCTCAGGTCACTGTCGGGTAAGCATACCCTCGATGTAAGCTGGTATTTCCTTTGTAAAATGCTTCTCAGCCTTCCAAGTGCCTCTTTGTGGTCTAGCTCACACAGCCCCTCCTGAGCCCTGCTGCCCAGCTTGGCTTCCCCAGCTCAGTCACTCTCTTTGGGTCTCAGTTCCTTCAAGGGAGGGGCGCGGAGGGGAGAGGGCTGGCAGGAAGAGTCGGAAGAGATCATCTGTGAGCCTGCTCCTGGGCTCTGCCATTCGGTCCACCCTGCTGCAGTTTCAGGCCCGTGTCTCCCGCAGGGTCCCTGTTCTAACCTGACTGCTCTCCTGAGTACTCACACCAGCCTGTCTTGTGCATTCTTCCCTGATGACATTCCCAGTGCTTCTCTGTGCATAAGCGTCCATCGTGCCAGAAATGCCTGTTCCCTTCCTGCCACTGGGGCTCTCACCCACCTTGGAGCCCCATGTGTCCTTGCCCCCATGCCAGTGGAGCTCTGCTGCTGTTACCATGTCGCATTAGGGGAGAAAAGTTGCCTGTTCTCAGGACTTTGCCTTGCAAGAGCAGGGTGACAGTTCAGATCTGGGGAGAGGCATCAGCCGGGTGAGAGTCTATGTGCTGAGGACAGTGAGATGGGACTGCTGGTTAGTTTCGGCAGGCGGGCACTGTGGGTGGTAGCGGGTGCTGGGCTGGGCGGCCAGAGGGGGCTTGGACCATCACCAAATGTTCCCGAAGGTCCTGTGCTTATTCCCAGGCTATGCTCACGGCAAACCCTTGAGTTCCTGAGGGAAAGAAGGAGAGCTTCCAGAGAGACGGAGAAGGAGAGAGGGCAAAGAAGAAAAGGAATGAGAAAGATCACAGAGGAGATATAGGGATGGTCACACAGTGGGCAGGTTGCCTGTCCGTGCTCGCCCATGGCAAAATGTCAGAAGCCTTCAGGCTGAGAGCTGCTGCTCTGAGGGAAGGGTACAGGGGTCCCAGGCCGGGGAGCAGACCCCCAGTGTGCTGGGAAGGCACAGGCTGGTGCCACACAGCTCCCTGCTGGTGAGGGTGTGTCGTGAGGACCCGGTATTTTCTAAGGTGCGTGGGACGGAGAAGAGCGCTCAGGCTCGCTGACAAAGATCAAGGACGTCTTGGCGTGCAAGCCTGGCTGGGGAGAAGGTCAAGTGGCCACTTGGTGCAGTGCCAGCTGCAGCCTCGGGACCAGATACAGTATATCGGCATCGACCTGGTCGGCAGGTGTCAGACCGATGCGGCCGCCCCGAGCATCCGGATGCATGGGGTGGACCCCTGCCTCGGAACTGTCCTGTCCTGTAGCCTGCCGGGGAATCCACAGCTCAGGATGAGGACACGCGGTTGTAGCCTAGTGCGTGTGTATAGGGTTCCCAGCAGAAAAGGCTGCCCTTACTAAGTCTAACACATTCTCTTGTTTTCTCACCTGTTTGTTTTTTTTCTTTCAACTTTCGGTCACGACACAGAAAGTGAAAAACATGACTGTGCGTCCTTGTGTGTTCACCTATCCTCTGCTTTAATCCTCACCATAACCCTGTGAGCAAGGCGGGCAGGACTGGGTCCCCAGGGGATGGGTGACTTGGGCACCCACAGCTGGTAAAGGGCAGGGCCGCTGCTCCAAGTCCAGCCCTCCTTCCACCCCCCACCCTTCCAGGCCCTCCCCGAGAAGGGGCGGTGTGGGCTGGCCAGGCTGGGGCGGCGGGGAGCAGTGGCGCCGGGGAGCAGTGGCGCCGTGGGTGCTACTCACTGTCTGTGCAGGAGACCCCGGCCGAGGAGCGCCCTGAGCCGTGGGAGCAGAGCACCGGCCCATGTCTCTGACACTGCTGCAGGGCCAGCTCTGTGCCCGAGCAGCGCACGCCGCTCATCACCACGTTGGTGGCCCCTGGCGTCCCCTGCCAGTACCAGGTGTCCTGAGAAAAGAGCCGGCAGCGCCCGGTCAGGGGGGATGCTTTGGAGTCATCCCCTCCGACACCCGTCTGATGCTGGAACCCCGTTGGACCGCCACCACCTGGTTGTGCCCGGCCCCAGCTTGAAAGTCTCCAGTGTGGCGACAGTTCCTGCTGCTTTGCACCCCTCCGGCAGCAGAAGTTTCTCCCCTGGACCTAGGCAGGGAGATTCCTCGCCACTGGCCTTGCCCCACCCTCACCCACAGGGCAGCCCTCAGCTGTTGAAGAGGACGGTCCCGTTCCCTTGCTGTCCACTCAGCTTTGCTTCCCATAGCTGGGTGGTGGGGGGTGGCGGTGCTCATGAACAGGTCCCATTTCCTAGGGGCAGGGTGCCCGGCATTCCCCCAACGGCCAGTGTGGGCCCAGTAGAGGACGTTGTGCCAACCCAGCCACTCCATGGCCTTGTGGTTTTCTTTCCCGGATCCCTCTCGAATCTACCCGCAACTCCCCCAGGACTGCCACTAGTCTGGGCCGCACCAGCATCGTCTCTCAGCGGGCCTGCTGCAGTGAGTGTCAGCGTTCTCGCTGCCCCAGCAGTGTGCTGAACAGCACAGAAGAAATGTTTGAGACATGTGCATTGCAGACTTTGAACGTTTGCCAGCCTCTTCCTCCCTCCCTCACACATCACACCCTTGACAGCCCCACTCCGGCCCCAGTCCCCGATCTTCCCAGTGGGGTCAAGCTTCCCCCATGTGGGCTATTTATCCCCTCCCCACCTGGTCTGCTGAGCCTCAACTCCTCTTCCCTAGAGACGGAAGTATGGGCCTGTTGCGTGAATGTTTTGTTAATGACCGCCTTACCCACTTCGCTGACTGTTCCTGAGACAGGAACTGTGTCTTGTTCACCACACTGTCCCCAGCCCCCAGCATGGCATCGGCCCCCGGTTTCACTCAGTAACTAATCAATGAATGCATGAATGAGTTGTTAGTACTTTTAACAGAGGAAGTTTGGAAGCAAGACAGAGACCTACCTTGATTGCGTGGTTGGCAAAACCCAGGCCGAGCTGTCGGCAGGCCACCATGGCTTCGGTGAGCCCCCAGTGGTCACTGCACACGGCCCCCCAGCGCCGGACTCCGTTCACCTCTACCTGCACTTCCACCACACCCTCCTGGGGGTTGCGCCCGCCGGCCAGGCGCACCTGCAGTGGTCAGAGGGGTGTGAGGAGCACGGCGGCCTCCGGGCGGAGGGCTCAGGACTACAAGCCTGGAGCCGGGTCCGGCTGGCTCTCCCCTTCTCTGGCTTTATCTCTCTCTCTGTCACTTGAGATACTTAGATAGAGAGTCCCTGCGTCCCTGCCCTCTAGAGCAGTCGGACTCAAGGTGCCTGCCCCTATCATTAGCGAAGACTTGCCAGGAGCAAAAGGATTTCGTATCTCTTATTGCATTCACAATAACCCCAGGAGACAATTAACCCCAACTGACAGAAGACAGAGCCACGCTCAGAGACAGGAGTGACTTGTCCACTGTCCGCATGACACATGACACCTGAACTCTGGCCATTCCATGCAGCCTCGCAGTGACACTCCCCAGCACCGACAGCACTGGGGTCCTCTGCCCTAGACCCCTTCCTCACAGGGCACCTATTGTGGGAACACGCATCCGCGTGAAGGGCCCCCATTGCCATGGGACATCTCTGAAGGCCAGACCCTGGCCTTGAGGACACATGGGCCAGGCGGGGGAGGCTTAGAGGAGAGGCTTTCCAGGCTAGCTCTGAGAACCCCCCTCTCCACGGGCTCCATGTGGTGTCCTGGGGTGCTCTCCGTGCTTTCCAACCCCCCCGATGGAGGCTACGCCAGAAGCTGAGCTCACCTGATTCTTGAAGCCCATGTCAGGGATGTTGCACCTGACGGCAGCGTCATTCTCATGTTTACAGCCATTCTGGGACCCCTCCAGTGAGGGGCAGTCACTGAGGGTCCGCTCAGAACCCCTGCAGCGCACCTCGCTCAGGTGGATGGGTCCCAAGCCTAGTGAGGAGAGGGGGAGGTGCCATGTAAAGCTCCGCCTCTAGAACCCTACTCCCGTGGCTTACCCCCCATAGTCGGAGAGAACTTTCTGTCCTGGGCCTCACCACCAGGGCCACCAAGGGACGGAACAGTGGCCCATCCACGGCCTCCTACCCCCCACCCCAGGCCTCCTTGCTTACCCTGCCCCAGCTGGGCCCCAAAAAGGGCCTCCCGAGCCGAGCCAAAGCCAAGCTGACGGCACACGATGCTGGCAGAGATGAGGTTCCATCCGTGGTCGCAGACCGTCCCCCACTGGTGGTTCATGAGCACCTCAACACGGCCCTCTCCCACCTGGGCCCCCGAGCGGAGGCGCACCTTCAGCTCCTGCTGGGAGAAAACCGGCTTCAGGGCAGGCAGAGGAGGCAGCAGCGGGCATGGCGGAGCTGCTGTGGGGAGCCTGGGCCAGGCCCCTTCCCGTAGGCGAGCTGATGACCAGGGTTCCAGTCCCACCTCTGGTGGTTCAGAGCTACTGCCTCGAACCCACCAGTAAGCCGTTCTTCATAAGCGCCCTTCCCTCATGACAAAGAACCACCGCAGGGGCCACAGTGGTAAAAAGGGGGCCTTAGGAGCTAGGGTTCTTGGACTTCACAACCCTCTACCTGCACTCATCGGGCGGTGGGGGGGGTCCCTTCCTGTCGTCCAGCCCTGGCTCCTTCCTTATCCTTGGGGTTAAACTAGATCAGTGTTCCCAACGGGATCCGTGAGATGATTTCAAGCTGCGCAGGGACGTGGTATGAATGAAGCTGACTCACACGGTGGGGCAGTGACTTCCGTGTTAACCCTTCTCCAGTCCTTCCTGTTTCACGGCGGACGCTATCCCACTGCCAGGAGGCCACGTCCGCGACACCTCACCAGCACTTGCTTGTTGCTTTTTCTAACAGAGGGCCAGGCTCAGGTTCACTAGCTTTGGCCTCAACCCTGTTAGCTACGATGTAATTAGTGTCTTTATGGTTACCTGCTATTCCTGGCCCGTGATGTCAGCTTTCCATTTATGGGCGGGTTATAAACGGTTCCTTTTAAATAAATCCCACATTTCTACCATGCTAGGCTTCGCTCTCCTCCTCCCAGTCTGCACCAAGTTCTCCTTGATGGGGGCGATTGGTCCTTCCGCTCCTGCCTGTCCCGGAGTGTCCCTCCCTGCCTGTCCCTCTCACCCACTCCTGCTGCCACGCGGTGGGACCCACCTCTGCCCGGGACTCCTTGTGCCCCGCCACACAGCTGACCACAGCGTGCATGCCGCCCGGGCAGGCCGGCTGCAGCTTGCCCTGAGCTGGGGCCACCTGCACCTGGCAGTTGGCCAGGTGGGGCTCTGTCCCCAGGCAGTTGACCCGGTGGATCCAGAAGGAATTCTTCTGTGTCAGGCTCTTCAACCTGGAAGACAAGGGAGCCTGAAGGTGGGGAGGGGTTGAGGGAGCTCGGGGGTCAGGGAGGCTGAGGCACTGGGGAGGAAAGGGACGTGCCCTGCCCCTTTGTGCCATACCCCTCGGCACCCTCCCCTCGGGACGTGGCTCCTCACCTAGATTTGGGGTCCTTCATCTTCAAATTCCAGACTCTCCTAGGTGGGAGAAGACAAGTCGGGGGGATGGAGGGAGTGCTGAATACCCAGTGTGCCCCGGCTTCTCATGACTGTCCTTGAGTTTGCACGGGGATTCCGTCCGGAAATTCGCCCGCATTATTTTAGCGCCAAGCCGCACAGCAGCCCTGTTAGCGTGGTCCCATCACAGATGCCGGTGATCTCCATGTCACAGGGAGAACAGCGGGGCCCAGCAAGGTACCTCCTCAACTAGTCCCAAACTGGGGTCTCTTCAGCACTTGACTGCTCCTGAGTGGGCAGCCCCCAGCTCGCCCTCTCCTCATGCAGATGGACGGGAGCCTACAGGGAGTGTCCTGAGAAATGCGACCCAGCGTAAACGTCCTCTGGGGGCAGGTGCAAGTTGAAGGCTTTCTGGTAGGGGCTGCCCACCCAGAGGCTATAATCAGGGCTGCCCTCCTCGGGGGTGGTGGGTGAGCCAGCCGGGCCCAGAGGTGCAATTACCAGACAATGGGGAGTCAGGGGCCCACATCCCAGTCGTCGCCAGGGACGGAGCCACGTGGCTGGTCCCAGGGAGCAGACCCATCTAAGAGCCGCTCAACTGACTTGGGGTAGGCAAGGGGAGGCCACACAGACGGAGTGTGGTGGGTGTCTCCCTTGATGAGAAACACACAGAGTTTTCACTGGCACAGAGCTGGTGTCATTTAGAGGCTGATGCAATCTTGCGACAGTTCGGTCACGTTTTGGACAAAGTGTTTTTATGTCTCGTCTCCCAAGTGCTGCCCCGCCCCCCGCCTTGCTCACTTGCGCAGCAGTCAAAGCCTGGCTCAGATCAGAGCAGAGGAAATTCCCTGCCGACTGGCTGATCGAGGCCTGGAGGCCCTGCCGATGGCCATGGCGTGTTACTGGCAGAGCTGAGACCAGGGCTCAGGTGGTCTGTCCTGGCAGGTCCTGCCAGAAGCATCTTCAGTCAAGTCCACTTCTTTAACCAGGCACACGGGTTTGCATTCAGTGGTTTTCAGCTTTCCATATGACTAGCAAGGGCTGTTTTTCTTTTCTGACCATTTCTAGGTACTTCCCAGGGTCTCCAAGTTCATCCTCAGTCCTCATTATTCTGAGAGCCCTGCAGCTCGGGAAATCCGTGGGGCCTGTTTTCCCTCCCCGTCACACACCCAGGGAGTGTCCTCCTGCAGACACCACCCTGCCCATCTCCCTGGACTCTGTAAGGCCCTTGCCTTACAAAGGCACATACACACACATGCACATGCACACACACAGGAACACATGTGTATAGCTCGCACAGGCATGCACACACTCGGCCAGCTCCCCACAATCCCACGCCCCCCACGCCCCTCTACCCACCGGTTCTCCTTACCTGTAGTAGAGGCTTTTGACAGGTGCCTCGCTGGGGAAGCCCAGCATGCCACACACCACCTTGCTGTTGTTCCTGGTCCAGTCCTGGTCACACACCTGCCGCCAGTGGCCCTCGTACTTCACCTCCACCGCCCCCTCGGTCACCAGGCTGTGCCGCTTGGCACTGGCAAGGATGGGTTTGAGCCGCACCTCCTCCAGCTGCCGGCCCTGCAGGGCGCATAAGGTTACCAAGGGCCCCAGGCTTCCTGCCCCTGCTGAGCCCGCTGCAGACCTTCATATGGGCAAGCAAGGGCTCAGAACACTTAAAGATCACCCCCCAACCCTGGCCCTCCCTGGACAGGTCAGAAAACAGAGGCCCAGATAAGAGTGTATTTGCCAAGGCCACACAGTGAGCACGAGGCAGAACCTTGGTCTGTCTGCGCTCCTCCCCTCAACTCAAGAGAGGACCAGGCAGATCTGTGCCCTCCTTGGGATCAGGCTCGGGGCCTTTGGAGTTTGGGAGACTTCCGCGGGATGCAGAGGGACCTTCTTTGTACCACCTGGGGAGAGCGGAAGATGGACACAGACCCGCTGCTTGAGACTACCAGCAGGATCATTGGCCCAGAGGACCCCAGGTCCGGGGTGACTTAGACCATGAGGGCCACCGACCGCACCCTGGTCTGCTGCATCCATGGGCCAGGTTCCGCTGTCCGCAGGCTAGGGCTTCCCAGCAGTGGAGGGTAAGGGCCAGCACCTGCCCCGCCTGCTTCTATTGTTTGCTTGGGCCGTTTGTAGCTCGAGGTTGTTTGTGCTGGGAAGAGGCAGCAACTGTGGCCGGCCTTGGGGGTAAGACAGCCCCGCACCCCCTCCTGCCTCCCCTATGGGGAGCAGCTTCAGCAATCCCCAGTAACACCAGCCTGGACCCCCCCCGGGTCCCCACCTGGCCTGCTACAGGCGGGGCCTCTGTCCATGCACCTGCTCCGGGCCACCAACAGGAGGTGGGGTCCCAGGGGACGTCTCTCAGCCCAGTCTGCTGCTCCCTTTCTCTTCCTTCTTCCTCCAGGTTCATCACCCAGGAGGCTCTATGTCCCATGACTCAACCCTTAGCTCAGGCCAAGGCCTGAACAGCCTCCTTACCTGGGGCCCAAGGGCATTGGAGACTCTCTCAGAAAGATAGCCGCGGTGGCGCTGGGGGTGGCACACCACCCCGATGTCCTCTGAGTGGCTGCAGTCACTGACACCCCAGCCATTGGACCTGCACTGGTCCAGGGAGCTCTCTGTGCCCATACAGCGCACATTGTCCAGCCAGATGGGTCCTGAGGGCAGGGGAAGGGGGATGCTTAGGGACAGAGAGGCACTTGTGGACTGTGCCTCCTTCCTAGGACCCCACAGGTATCAACTGTCTTCTTCCAGAGCCTGTGTAGAAAGTAGGGGTGGGGGAGAGCAGTCGGTTCTCCTGGGATCTTGGTATCTATAACCCTACCTACTGCCAAGAGGAGGTAGAATCTGTTTTTGGAAAATGCCAGGTAGGTCTAGCAATCAGATCTACCTGTCCACCTATCCCTCCGTCCATTCATCCACTCAGCGACATTTGCTGAGCACCTGCCGTGTGCCAGGCACCCTGTAAGAGTGGACTAGGGTGGCGGCGGGGAGGGTGGCGGCCTCACTACAGGCGAGAATGGGAGGGTCAGAGCAGGGGCACTGGCAGCTGGGGTGCTCAGGGAATGCCTCACAGGGCAGGCCACCGGAGCTGGGTATTAAAGTGTGGGCAGGAGTCTGCAGAAGCCTCAGTGAGCCCAGCCTCGGAGGGCAACCGACCATCATCTCCTCGTCATCCTGCTGGGTAGCACCGGGCACTCACCCTCCCCTTGACCATACTTGGCACTGTGGGCCCAGGTCAGGGCTGTTTCAAAGCCCAGCTGGCGGCAGGCCACGGTGGCCTCCTGGAGAGCGAAGTCATCATCACACACGGTACCCCACTGGCCCTGGTGGAGCACCTCCAGGCGGCCCTCCTCTGGCCTGCTCCCTGGACCCACCAGCCGCAGCTTCGCGGGGCTCGGCGACTGCAGTCTGCAAGGGGGGGCCTGCAGCAGCAGCAGCAGCAGGAGCAGGGAGAGGGCGGCCGGTAGGGACCACATCCTGATGACTTCGAGGGCAGCCGGGGCCAAGGCACCTGGGGAAGGAGCAAACGTGACGATGATCACCGCCTCCACCCCTGAGCTCGGCTTCTTCTGCAGGCAGGGACAAAAGATGGCAGGACCCCTCCAAGGGTGTGTGTGCCATGGGCACGTGTCTACGGTGGTATCGATGGAGTCTGAGTTCGGAGGCTGGTGAACTGGGTTGAAACCCACTATTCATTGTTCACGTGACCTTGAGGAAGTTTAAGTTGGCCTTACTGAGTCTCGATTTCCTCGTCTATAAAGTGGGAATAATAATCCTTGTTTCAGTGTTGTTAGTGTTAAATAAAACACTGTATTTAAAGTGCTTAGTACAAGCCTACCACATAGCTCTCAATAAATAGCTAGCCTTGACATAGTCCTGTATGTAGGTGGGGGGGGGTGAAGGTGGAGGCATGGGCTGGGGCCAGACAACTGGGGGTCTTGTGCACCTGCAGACAGTCTGCTCTTCATCCTATAGGAGGCGAGGGGCCGTGGAAAAATTGTAGGCAGTGAGCACATGCCAGAGAGAAGGCTCCTGTTTCCAGAAGCCTATAATCAGCTGCTCTCTGGGTCCTTAGGGGGGTGAGGTTCAGGGCGGGTCTTCTCCCCCTCACACATGAGCAGCCTTGGTCTTGGGCATGGGGGCACAGGGAGGAGCATGGGGGAGAGGTCATGGCTGATGAGGGCTGCCAGAGGGTCTGCAGTCACCAATGCTCGAGGTCCTCCCCTGCCAGGCTCTGCAGCCGGTGAGGAGTTGATGCCAGCCCAGGACATGATGGAGGACATTGTGTCCTTGACTCCCTGTTCTGCACTGGAGTCAGAAGAGAGCTCGTTCTGGGGAGACCTGCTCTTGCATGGCCACTGCTGTCCCGGGGGTCCTATGTAGCTGGTCAGTCTCGGTAGCGGGGGCCTCCCAGGGCTCCCTGCTGCTCCCCTTCCCACAGACTGCTATGTTGGCTGGGCCTCAGTCCTATTCCTTCCTGCACACAGCCCCCAACCCCTCCGGCCACCAATCCTCTGGCTTTGGTGAGCCCAGAGCTGGCCGGAGGGAGCTCCTAGAAGGACACTAGATGGGCTCAGGACTTATGCTCCACAGGGACAGCGACTCTGTGTCATGCCCCCAGTGCTCAGAAGAGTGCCAGGCCGGTACGTAGGTGGCCCCAGTAAATATCCGCGGTTGCATGGCTGCGAGGTAGCACTGCATCGTGCTTAAGGGGAGAGACTGGGAGTCAGGCTGCCTGGGTTCTCATTCCACTTCTGGGCAGTCTTGGGCAGGTGATTTCATAGCACAATGCCCCAGTTTTCCCTCCGTGAAACAGGGATACCAAATAGCAAGGACCTCATAGGATTCTCGTGAAGCTTAGATGAACGGATGCGCTCTGGACGCTGACAAGAGCAGCTTTCCCGGACAGGTAACTGTCACACAGCAGCAGGAACGGCCCGGGGGGAGCCCTGGGTTGGGGTGGTCCCAGCCCGTCTCAGATAAAGAAGGAACAGAGGCCATATAGCAGCAAGTCCCCAGGACGTTTCTTTGCGACATCCTCCAGATTTGCCTCTTTTTCCTCTGAGCCCAGGTTCTCCGGGTTCCCCTCCCTGGGGCCGGGTGCTGTGGTTAAGTCTCTTCCCACCATGATCCCTCCTGCACTTCCTTTCCAGACTTAAACACTGTTTTCTTTATGTGACTCTCTGCTCTGGAGCAGGCGGGGGCTCCTGACGGGCTGTCAACCATGAGCAGCTTATGCTTGGCTGCTTGGGACGTGCCCCACTAAGGACGAGGTGGACAGCTAGGGACTGAGCCAAAATGAAGTCGCTCTGGGTAAGGACCTTCCCCAGATGACAAGAGAAAAAGGACTGGGTTCAGAGCCCTCCAGCTGCTAGGACCCAGTGGTCGCCTTGAGTCTGACCTGAATGATGACCCCCACCCCCCACCCTTGCCCCATCCCCCAGGAGTCAGGATGCTCCTTGCTCTGGCACCAAGTCCTTATGTGACTTGAGTCAGGGGCTTTCCTCTCTCTGAGACTCAGGTGCAACACCTATAAAATGATGGGGTGGCACTAGGGCTCCTGCTCCCCATGACATGCTATGATGGGCCACAGAGTGGGCTGATGTCCCCCAGCACCCTGGAGCTCTCATTAGAGGAGCATAGTCCCAGGCCTGCCTGGAGCTGGGGTGGCCTTCTGCTGCAGGACCCTGGGATCTGGGTGAGGACAGTTCCCTTCCATGAGAGTGGCCCAGGGAGGGGGAACGGGTGGCAGCAGGAACCGAGGGTCAGATGTGGGGAGGACCCCTCTTCCCAGCCTGCCTGCCGCTGCAGGACCTTCTGTAGCTTCTGGTCACCCCAAACTTGCCTTCTCACCATTCCCCAAACATAGCCGTCCATCCTCTGCTTCCACATCCCGGCCTCTGCTCTCACTGCTCCTTCTACTTGGAGGACCCTAGCCCTCTGTGTCAGATCGGTAAATCCCTACAGGTGTTCCAGCACTCAGCTTAGATGCTGCCTCCTCCATTAAGCCCTCCCAGCTACCTCCCACCACCCCAGCACTCAGTGTTTGCTCGCTGTCTCCATACCCAGCCTCCACCGCATCTCCCCAAAACTGTTCCTCCAGTGCCCAGCACGGGGAAGACCACCAGCTGAGAAGTCTCCCTTCGAGAAGGAAACAGCCTCAGAAGTGGCCGTTCTCTTCACAAGTAGAGAAGGGGATAGTGTAGGGGAAGGAAGGTTGGAGGGTAGTTAGTAATTAATTATTGTAATACATTTGAAACTATTTACGGAGTACTTATCTCTACTTTATAGGTGAGAAGCTGAGGTCCAGAGAAGCTAAGTAACTTGCCCAGCTGGGACAAAGGCAGCCCGGCTTCAGAAGCCAGGCTCTCAGCCATGGGAGACCTGGACGCTGGATCCAGGAGGAGGGGAAGGAGGAAAGGAGGCAGGGGGATGAATGAAATTCCACCCTGCTGCAGGCTGATTGATGACCCAGCCTCGGTGTAAGGGCACTGGGGTTGGTGCCAACAGAGTGCAACTGAGTGACATCCAGGATCCTGCCAGCTTGACGCAGGCAGGCACCTGCTCAGGTGTTCCCAGCGGACGCTGGCACCTGGCCTGACCTGGGCCCCCTGGAAAGGGCTGGAAATGCCCAAGGATATTCAGGAGAGAACATGGTTGGGGGAGGGGGGCTGCCCTCCTGTGCACCAGCCTTGGGATCACTGGAAGCCCCTTCTCTCTAGCTCTTTGGGGGATGGGGTCCCTCCCTGGGACCACGAATTATGGTGACCTGAAGTAGTGCCAGCAAATGACTCTGAGCTTTACCTGGCCAGGCATGGGACATACTGCGGTTGAAGCCCTCTGCCCACCTCCATTCGCTGTCTCCCTACCCCTCAGCATAATCATCTCTGGTTTATGTACCCTGCCTTTGTCCCCCAAGTCACAAGTTTGACATCTGAACCCACCTTGCCCCTTTCCTTGCTTCTTCCTCGATGAGGGCAGAGAAATGGTTACACACAGCATGTTCACAAACAAGACACGCAGGCACCCCGGACGGGCTGGGGCCAGCCACCCTGGGCGGGCCTTGGGCCAAGCTCCCTAATTTGGTCACTTCCCTTGGAAGCAGGTTGGTGAGCGACTAGGAGGCTAGGCCATCTGCCCATGGGACCCCCACCTCTCCCAGCCCCCAGCCTTCAGGAACCTTCAGAGGCTGGCAGCCTCACAGAGAGACAGAAGTGGGACAGACAGGACAACGCGAGACAGACCCGGGGCCAGGGGCCAAGCGGGGGCTCACCAGCCGCAGCACAGAGGACGGTCGGGCAGGGCCGGACGCCGGGATGAGAGCGCTGACGGGCCTCCCCGGGCGCCCTGGGGCCCTTTTATCCCGCTGCGGCCCGCGGGCGCCCCCCCACCCCGCAGCCGCCGCCTGCGGAGGAGGCCCCGCAGGCCCCGCCCCCGGGCGGACCCGGTCAAGGCGGGCGCTCAGCCCGGCCCGCGGCTCGGCGCCTCTGCCCTGAGCCGCGGGCCGGGAGCGGGCGTCCACGGGGCTCGGCCGGGAAGTCCTGGGGTGGCCACGTGCAGGGGGTGGCGGGGGGGTCGGGAGGGGCTGTTTCCCGCGGAGGAAACGGGCGCGCTGCAGCAGGAGGGACTGTGGCAGGATCAGAGTCCCCGCGAGAGGCCGGCGGCGGGGCGCCAGCGGGCTGCGTTTGCTTGGGGTGCCCGTGGCCTCAGTAGTCCCTGTCCCCCGCGCAGTGTCCTTCTCTGCGAAACCGGGTGACCTGCCCCCCCCACCCCGAATCCCCAGATCCAGTGAGGACAGGGAGGCGTCTGTGCCCAGAGCACAGTTTTCCTTCACAAGGAAGCGCCTCGCTGTCATAAGACACCAGAGCCTCTTGCGGGCTGGAGCGGGGGAGTGGGGGGCTCAGTTCAAATGAGGTTGGGATGGCGTGGTGCAGGTGTGCTCTCTTTGGAGTAACAAGCGGCCCTCGCCATTGCCCTGGTGCCTCCAGATGTATTGAGTACTCCGGGAGCGCGTGGTCTCTGGTCTGCCCATTGTACAGCTGGGAACACTGAGCCTCCAGAGACACGACTGACCTGCTTCCCCCAGTAATAAACAGTAAATGGCAGAACGTAAGTCCTTCTCTACAACTCCTTACACAGTTGAATGAGGCCGTGCTGGCCCTTGACAGGCCCATGGGAGGGTATGTGTAGAGGGTGGGTTGGGGTTAGGGGTTACTGTGAAATAAAATGAAAGTAGAAAAGGCTGAAAGAGGGGAGGACCAATCAGCTTAGCTGAACTCCCAGGCATGGGAATCCCAGCCCCTTTCCAAATTCTTTCCCATGGTCCTCTTCCCTCCTGGTGCCTCAGTGTCCCTGTCTATAAAATGGTCAGAGAGTTCCATCCTCCCAGTTTCCTCCCTAGGTCCAGATAAGTACAGCCTGGTTCCCCTTCTTTCCCCAACCTCGCCTGAGTGTCCTTCCAAAGGCTCATTCATTCAGCAAATCTTTATTGATTTTCTCCTCCTTGCTAGACGGGGT